TAATAAATCCTTGTAAACATTATATACTAATTCATTGTAAGGGTCTAAAAATGAATGTTGTTCATTTTTGGTTCACTTTGGTGGCTGGTTATATTCTTGTTTTTTCTTAATGTCAATTCATGAAAAGACCAAAACTAAAAATGACTGATGAATAAATGTATTGTCTGTCTAGCCCAAAGCCTGATATATATTATACCTCCGCAATACAAAGCTCCATTGTTGTCCAAAAAACTATTAAAAACACATTGTGACACTGTTTTATTTGGACTCAATCCCACATGCGCCATCCTGCTGATGGAAATACTCTATAGAGCACCAAATTACTAATCTGTGGCTGAAAATAGTTAACACCATATACACGTCTGCTAACAATGACAGAGCTCAGCTGTTTTAGAGATTAAACATTTAAAAAAAAAAAAAGAAGAAAAAGTAGAAACTACATCTTTTGATCTGTTTTTAAACATTTACATCTTCACGTGAGACTAATTGGCTGGGGACTGAATGCCAGAGACAGGGTAGGGAAGTAATAAAATATTAAGGTGTTAATTTTGGTCTTTTCTCTTTATTTGTTGACGGTGCAAAAAATATAGAATAATGCAAGACTTATCCTGTATCCATCAAATGTTTGCTGTGTAGCACCTGCACAGACATAGACATGCTGTACATGTTCAGCAATTCCTCCCATTTTTTCACTTGTCCGTGTGTAAGTGCTGTTGACATCAAACATACAAGCATTGTCTTATCAAGGTTATATTAACAGAGTTGAATAGAGTCGAGCCTCAATGAATGTGTAGTTAGCGTGATAGCAATAGATGGAAACAGAGGAAAGGGTTACAAAGGAGCGTATGCTGTGGTAGCTCAGCACTTCTCTTGTCATCATATACTGCTGCTATGAATATAATTTAAATGCAAATGGGACAATGCTGCAGTCAAGCATAGCTGAGTGAAAATGTGAGTGTGTTTTAACAATAATGGTCAGGTTGCATTCAAATTTTCATCCATTCAGGGATAACAATATAATCTTCATCCCCAGGCTCTAAAACAACTGTTTGAGCTGTTTGAGTATATGTAGATGTATGTTTATATGTATATGTGTGTATGCTGTACATATGTATCCACATAGGTTTTTATTATTTATTTATTTATTTATATTTGTTTTTTGGATGAGTGTGTGTGTGGGTGACTGCTGCTGCTGTGGCTCTGTGTTGCCATGGTGACAGTTGAACTTCAGACTGAGGTTGAGGCTTCTACTGTACTTGAAGTAGATGCTGTTGCATAAGGCGAAGTGTAACACACACAGATACGCACTGTGCAAAGCAATTACTGTGCTCTTTCTGGAGTTTGTGTGTGTATTTGTATGTGATGAAACAGCAATGTTGTTAGGACTACTGTTCTGCTCTTGCCCCAGGAGACTGAATATTTCATAACCTTTTCTACATATTGCAAATAAACCAGGTTATGTTTGATAATGTAGAGTCAAAGTCATCAAATCTCATTTTTTCTTTTAATGGTTTGAATAACCTATATCTCGAGTCTGGTGTTACTTTTTACTTCTACTTAAATACTTTTTCCTAGGGGATCTATAACATCATAACTTTATTTGGGACTGTAACTAACTGTTGTTTTGATTATTAATTTATCAGCTGATTTTCTCAATTAAATAATTATTCTTGTAAAAAGATGCCAAATCCAATTTCCTTAAGCCCAAGGTGTTTTTGTTTTTGTCAGACCAACAGTCAAAAACCCAAAGATAATCAGTTCAATATCAAAACTGTTGCTGGTTAATTTTCTTCTTGTCGTCAAAGTTTTTGACTAGTCTATTAATGTACTTATCGTTTCAGCTTTAACTTTCACACTTGTATTAAGTACAGAGGAACTCTTTATATAAATGAAACTGCACTGGAAACAATATCTAAACGTTAAAAGCCTGACAATGTCCCACATGAATAAGGTAATGTTGTCTGTTTGCAATCAATTTCATTATTTTCAAGAATGTCCTTAGAATAAGTGTAATTTTCTTTTTAGTGGTGGAGCAATACATCTCATTGTCATTTAAAGATACCGACACTTGTTTCTAGAAAAAAAAAAAAAAACTCTTGAAGCGCAAGATAGTAAGAGGCTCAGAGTAAGACATTATGCACCAAAGTCAGCAAGCCAGTCTTCTTCAGTAGAGAGAGATGGAGAGTTGGAGGCAGAGAGGCTGTAGTATCACTCACATTGTAAGACAGTGTGTAAGACAGGAAGAGATAGAGGTTGTGAAAGCCAGAGAGAAGGAGAATAGGAGAGGAAAGATGAGTGAGTAAAAATTGGTGGAGGGAGCACGGGGTGGCCATAATACGCCAATTAGTTCCACTACCCGCTAGTCCCAGCTCTGCTCTGCATTTCCCTTTGATCTGTCTAATTCTAACAATTAAATACACTGTTTCCATGCAGAGAGGAACAGCGTAAGATGTTTAACCCAATGGTAGCCACTATTAAAACTCTCCTTTTCTGTTATTTATTGTACGACATTAATTGAAATTTATGAAACCTACCAAGAAGAAGAAGTGTTTTTTTTATTATGCAAGATATTGGTTTATTTGTGTTCTGTTTGTGTATTTAGGTTTATCCACACATACTGTACATAGGACCAAAGTACGTGCATCCTACGCCACTGCTCTTGTTGCTAGTTTGTATTTTTGCGTTTCTCTGTCTAGCAGATGTAGGACAGTAATTGGTGCAGTAGATGATGAAGTCAGTGTGTATGTGTGTGTGTCTGTGTGGTTTGTGTCTGTGAGTTGCGCTGACTCAAAGCAAGACTGTAGGGAGAATCATTAGACTCGCAGCAAGGCCTCACATTGAGGCTAATTACCACCTTTTGCCCTAAAGACACACAGATACACATGCACTCTCTCGTGCTCGCACATACCTTCACTGGAAGACCTCCAGAGGCAGCCCCTTAAAACTAGGCAGCGGTTTGTTGTGTACTGACGTATGGGTGACAGAAGGTGCAAACAACATCCCTGAAGAAAGCTGCCATGTTCCAGCTAGTCTCTTTAGAGAACCCAGTAACTGGCACAGTCAGTGGATGCCTGGTGACCAGAGAAAGAATGAACGCTTTCATTGGAGTCCAAGTGTGTATGTGTGTTTTTGTCTCTGTTTGTGCCTGTGTAATGAGCTCCTGGGGAAAATCAATAGACTGTTACAAATTTGCCACAATCTCATTTTGTTGAATTTGCATTTCATGGCTGTCAGTGAAAAAACTCAGTAAACTCTCAGCTCTCAATAACATTGTTTTATCAAATAATTACCTTGGCAAAAAACCTGAAAATCTGACAGTGCAGGACTTGGTTTGTTATTGGGATTTACTGCCAGTGTTGTTTTATAGAAAAAGAAATGCATTTATTCATTGTCTTACTGAGAGTTACATGAGATAAGATGGATATCACTCTCATGTCTGTACACTAGTGGAGCTACCTACACAGTTAGCTTAGCTTTGCTTGCATCAAGACTGGTAGCAGGGGAAACTCTCTGTCTAAAGTTGAACTTGTGTCTCTGTACATTTAACAAATGAAATATGTATTAATACAGAGTATTAAAGGTGGTCTTAGCTTTATTTTTGAACTTTGAAGTCAGAGAGTAGACAGTGTTTTCCACCTTCCAACTGGCTACAGTATCACTCTTTTCATTAAACGCTCAACAAGAAAGGCAACAAGCGAATTTCTTTAACATTGCAATAATGACACCAGGTCCCTTCAGTGCTGAGGCCTAATAATTAAACATTCAGCGTGTGTGGCTATGCAGTGTCTGCCTGTTGCCGTCATATTTGCTTTTTGTGTAAGATTTTGAGACTGTGTTTTTGGTTTCAAGTGTCACGGAAATCAAGTCAAAGTCTCAAGTCCTCATTTTTACAACCTAAGTTTGATTAGAGTCCAAGTCAACAGTTCTGATTAATCCTGATATTTTGCTGAAATCTATTAATATTAATATTAATTTGACTGAATGAAAACAACAGAGTACCAAATTATAAAAGGATTGCCAATTAATTTCATCAGTCTTTCCTGCCCGTGTGTCTCTGTGCATGTGTGTGTATGAGTCTCATACAGGATACACTTACACTGTTGTACATTAGAGGCATGTTATACCTTCATGATCTTGTTCATGTGATCAACTAATCAACTAACCAACTCACAGCCTGAACACAGCCGTCAGTTATGTAATAACAATAATACCATAATATATGCAAATGCTCAGGGGCTTTTTCTATCATTATGCACTCATTAGAACTTCCCTGAGTGCTCTGCAGTGCTCTCTGGTATTTTTCCCTGTGAAACTGCTTTCTGGATAGCAGATTACCCTCCATTTAAGGAAGCAGATGTTGATGATGATGATGATGATGATAATATGTTACCTTTGTGCTGTTTTTTTTTTCTGCAGATGTAATCTTGTTATTATCCCGTCTGAAAGCCTTTGAACTCTTATTCTCTATAGAAGCTGTTTTAAATTATGCAAATGAAAGTGAGTTGTCATTTTTTACCAGCACAGTAGCTTTTGACCAAGCATCCCTTCCCTTGCGGAGAGCACAAAAATCAGCCATCTTAACTCATTTATTATTTTATTTAACTAAACACGAAATCACTGCCCATAAAGTCATAAATACCAAAAAAATGGCTACCACAATTTCCCAGAGCCCTAGGTGATCTCTTCAAATTGCTTGTTTTATCCAACCAACTGTCCAAAACCTAAACATATTGTAATATATTTTTACAATATTATTTTACAATAATATTACAATAATAAAAATAACACAATAATGTTTTACAGTTATATAAAACGGTGAACAGCAGCAAATCCCCACATTTCAGAAGCGGAGACCCGCAAATGTTTGGCATTTCTGCTTGATAAATGATTCATTTTAATACAGATCAACCATCAATGCATGCATATTTTCATGCACAATACATGCAGATTACCCTGCACATCATTTAAATTTCATGTTTTCTATCTGTGTGTTCATTCAGGTACTGAAGATCAGTCTTATCGGACACAGAAAACGGATCTTGGCCTCGTTGGGGGACCGGCTACACGAAGACACCCCACAAAAACCTCCACGGGCCATCTCCCTAAGGGTGAGTTGCAGTGAGCAGGCAGCATGTCATATGAACCCTGAGCAATATCTAAACCAATGTGGATTTTAATTATTATGGGTTCATCAGAGAGAGAAAAGCACTAGTGTCTCCCCAGATGGCTGTGTATTTCTCTGAGGAAAATACAGCCTCCCCACTGCTGCTGATACCACCCAACTGATTACCCAAATCTCTCAGACAGGCACAAAATGGCCGACCCACTGCAGTTTCCTCCCTGCTGGCTTGTCCTGGATACTAATCACAAGAAGCTGGCTTTCCCTTTCCCAGTGGGACTATGCTCTAATGTCCCTATAATAGCCTCTTGCTCTTTGTGCTGTTGAGCCAAGGGAGGCATGTGTGTGTCTGCCTGGTTGATTCTGCTCATTTCTCTGGGTCCAAACAGCCAATATTGTCCACGGTGTCTCAACATGTCCACCTGAGAATTGGAGTTATGTCCTGAGCCTCAAATAATCTCTCTCTCTCGTTTTCTAATTGTCCCTGGAGCAAGTGATATTATATTTCAATAGAAAGCAGGTTACTCTCTCAGCAGCATTACCCTGGTTATTTTTCTTTCGATCAATCAGTCAGTCACTTCTATTGTGATTAATTGATGAGTCAATAAAATGTTAAAAAATGGTACAAGGATTCCACTTCAGAAACCATCAGAAAAAAAATTATTAATATTATTATAACATATATGAGAAAAGTAGCAACTTCACATTAATATATTCTTTTGATCAGCTGCAATAATTGAATAATGAACAAGTTCATTTTCTTTCTTCAAAGACGTGTCACTGCCTTATAATTGAAGAAAAGCAAGATTATATTGTATGACTCAAAACAGGGTAAGATGATGTGTTGAGCAGAGGGCTGTGTTTACTCCGTAATACAGTACAAACGTGAGACAGCTGAGTGCATTAGAACAAATGGTTGAATGAACAGCATGTGGCTCAGGATGAGGACTGAGATTCAGCTTCCACAGCCCAGAAAAAATTAAGGAAATCATGAGAGAAAACCTCTTCTATCCAGCACTCTCATATGTAATCAACTGACAGTGAATAATCTCTCGAGAGAAATAATTGACCTTCTAGTATGTAAGACCATTACACCATTAAAACACATGAAAGTCCTAATTCTTTTGGGGATTTTAGTCTCTGCTCAGCTTGAAAAACCTGTTAAATGAACAACGTTTTCCACTTTAAGGATCTAGCTGATGCTTTGTCTTAAAGAGACTTACTGAGCAGCTGTGCACAAAGACGCTCGACCTGCTGAGACCTTCTGGTTAAGAGACAGCGTCTTTGCCTTTGATTTTACGAAGCAATTTTAGACACTAGTATAGAGCAGCATTGCAACACTGTAACTGAAAAATAAAATGTGACAGCGCACAGTGAATGCAATTGCCCTACTTATTGTACTTGCAGCAGTGACACAGCACATTATGAAATGATGAATGAACCCTCTCTTGCTTCCTTCCACCCCTCCAATCTCACTACCCACCCATTCTTTTCCAGGAGCCCGGCGGGAACCACACTCCTCCCCAGCTCAGCCCATCGGTGGGCCAGGCAGCGTACACGGCAGGGGTCCCGGGCGGATCTCTGGACGTGCAGCACCTCATCATGCAGGCGGACGCCCGGCGCAGGCAGCGCAGCAATGACAACTACTTCGAGGACGTGCCGCGATCCAAGCTGGAACGACAGATGGCCCAAGTCAGCATGGTGAGGAAGGAAGGAGAGGATGGAGGGATGAATGGAGGCAGGAAGGGGGAGAGAGGGATGGACTCAAGGGGAGTATTATGAATGGTCATAGAGATATGCATTGTCTGGATGAGGATAAGTGTAGTGATATAATATATTTTTCTTACTGTTAAAACATCCAATGAAAAGACCAAAGCTAACAATAATTTGATTTGACTAACAAGTAGTGTCTGTAGCCTAATGCAGCTTTTTCCTTAATGCAATAAAGCTTATTGTCTGAAAACTACTAATCACCAACACTGGGTGAAATGTTCCTACATTACAATGAACATCAGCACTGCAGTTTATTTTGATATAATTTAATCATAAATTAAAAATCTCAGTGATTAAATGCTTGTCTCTAATAGATACAAGATGCCAGCCAAATGTATTTTATCTGACTGGTTGTTGAAAATCCTTTGCTGTTTAAAGGTCGTTTAAATTTATTAAAATAAGGTAATAGTACATATATGTCTAAAACTTTGTGCTATAAAATGATAAAATATGCAAACCACACTTCAGTGGGCGAATTGCAACAGTTATTTTTTGATCTTTACAAATGGAATTGGGCATAATCTACGACCTTAAGAAATAAATGTTTATCTCCAGCAGTCTCTCTCTAATGTACACAAGGTGCTTGTCATTGTAGAAAAACAGCATTTTAAATTTCTTTATCAAAGATGTAACACTTCATAGTTCTGCATAAACAAAACATACTTTTCCAAATAAGCATCTTAACTTTCCAGCCAATTTTATTCTCGTCAAAATGCAAAATGAGAACTTTGACTTCCAATCAACAACAGCGCAGTGACTCAGACACAAACACTCGTATACACACACACACACACACACTTACACATGTGCACGCATCTGAGGCAGCAGCTGTGTTTTTATTCAGTATGATTAGGGTCTTTTTGTGTCTCTGTGTGAATCGCAGAACTTGCAGCGTAGATTATCACACACTTACGGCTATCATGCTGAATCTCTTAAGTGTGTGTGTCACAGTGTATCCCCTGGTTTCCAGATACAACACTCTGTGGTACCACTGATGAGTCAGCTTTGCCAGAATAAAAGGATAAATGTTAGAGAAGAGAGGAAAGATCTTTACTCTCTGGTTCATTACCCCTCTTCTCTGAGTGTCACCACATTTCTATGATTGGTTACCTCACAAACGTTTCTCCCTCCAGCTCTTCCCTCACCTTCTGTTGACTCGTTTTCTTTTTTTCTTTTTCTTTTTTTTTTTACTTTTCTAAAACAGAACCCAAGAGAACAAGACACATTTTCTGGCCCTTAAGCAAGCAAAAGAGAAAAAAAAATAACTTCAAGCAACTGAAGATTTCCAGCTGAGCCCCTCAGTCAAAGTGCGGTCAAAGTGTGTGGGGGGAAAAACAGGTGTAATATTGTTAAGCTGGTGGAGTTTAGTGTAGATTTGGCCGATGCCTGCTTCTAAAGGCTTATCCTCAAGCTGTTTATGCAACATCTTTGCATATAATTGTAACATCTCACCTCCAGTCCCTCACTAACTTTCTGATTGGGGATTACACACACAAGCAATCAGATACAGACATACTCATAAACATGCAGTATTTGGCACAGGATGTGTGCATACCTCCTCACGAACAAATCATCTGGTTTCATTTACAAAAAAACAAAAGACCATAAAACAAGCTTAATTGTTATCCACAGACATTTGAGAAGTATGCAGATAGGATTTAGGTATTTCCTTTGTTTAAAAGGTGAAAGCTCACTGGGTGAAAAAGCAGTGAGCAGCAGCAAAGAGTCTTAAACTGAGCTAAAGTACGGGAACGTTTAGAAGCCAAGCATAATTCATTCAAGTTTAATTTCCTCTTGGATGTTCTCCGAAGCGTGTCCCTTTGAAGGCATGTTCATGTTCAGTCAAGAGAGCTGTTACATTATGAACTTAAACTCAAGCCAACGAGTCATGTCAACATGGGATACATAGCACAAGCCTTGATGTCGTGTCCCCTCTTGTAATCTTGTGTGATCCAGTTTGTATCCTAACGTGCGATTGGTTGTTGTTTCAGGCAGGCGAGTGGTGCGAGCCAATCACGTTGCGTCCACCAAACGAGGCCACCTCGTCCACTCCGGTGCAGTACTGGCAGCATCATCCCGAGAAGCTCATATTTCAGTCCTGTGACTATGAAGCCTATGTGAGTTCTTACCACTTCACTCTTATATCGGTATCTCTCTCTCAAATTAAATCGAAGGCAACTGGACTTGTATTTGTCTGTGGAAGACGTTTCGCCTCTTATCCAAGCAGCTTCATCAAGATCTTATATCGGTGCACATTCACAGTTCAAAACTGTGTGTGGCTGCAATGAACAATTCTGTTTATTACATGTCTGTGCCCACTTCATTACACTTTAACAGTTAATTGATCATCACAATTGTTACCATCATCTTCTGCTGATTGACTTGTCAATCAATTAATTTTAATCATTTCAGCTCTACTTGCACGTTTTTAATACACACTGAAAGTGATAATATGAAAGATCAATGACCCTCAGCCTCACCTTCCCTCAACACTGCACTCAGTTATTCTCAGCACTTTGGTAAATTTAGACCTTTTCCAGTTACATAAAGGATGTTATATATTCACGTTACCACGGATACAGCCTTGCAGCTTTGATTGGTTACATGCTCAGCAGCCAAACTGCAATGATTACTTAGGTAAAACACTGCAGAAAAGCTATTTGAGATGCCATTGGCTCTCAGAAACGCTGAGAGGGAATGTAATTGGTATCTCAGAAATGCACATTCTGAATGGTTTTGAGGCACTTTGATGAAGACATGGAGTGGGTATGAGCCAGATTATTAAGTAAGAGAGAGTAGGAGGAGAGGAAAAAAGAGAGATGGAGAGAGATCGCAAATTCAAGTTTGAACAAATACAACGGAGAGATGAGAAATTCAATTTTCTCCCCTTCAGAAGATTGATAGCAACAGCGTGGACCACTGGGCTTCTGACAGATGTACAACTACGCAGGCAATGTGTTTCAGGTAGATGGGTGGGAACACTCGACGGGTGGGCCACTAAGGGAAAATATGTAGGTGCTTTCAAAGAGCCATTTATGAAAACATCTCTAACATTCACTGTCCCAGGACAACGGGCTCCAGAAATCTCAGAAAGTGAGATAAATGAGCGGAAGCCACAACAGAGGGGGAGGCAGAACACTCAGTGTGAATATTGGCAAGATGGTCAGTGAATAACAATAAATTAGATGGATAAGACACTGATGAGAGGGAGAGAGTAAAGAGAGGAGTGTATTGTGTTTGTGTTAATAGAGAGAGGGGGATGGTAATAAGCCAAAAGGACAGAATAAAGGATGTATCAGCACTGTTCTCATTTTCATCTCAGGCTCCAAATAAACAAGACCCTCTCCTCCACTTTCAGCACCACCTCAGATGACATTGTAACTTTATTATGTCAGCTTTACAACTACAGCTTGAAAATATTAGCTGAAGTTATTACAAATCGATCTCCAGTAAAACCGATGCAGTCATTCTAACATCATTATCACACTCCACATCATTAACAGCCAATGTTATGTCAACATTGTGATCTAGATCATAGTAATCTAGAAGCTTCTGTTGATACAATACATCCAATATACAAATATTCAAGTCTATTCCTTTGTGACTAGTGCAGATTGTGTTTTCAAAACTATAAAGAATAATGGCTTATACCCCATTAGTCCCTTCATAAAAAGAGGAATCATCTCCTCTATTTTGTGCAAATTTTAGCTCCATTATAAATTTTTCAACACAGCTCCATTCAATCTCTGATACCATGGAAATTGACATTATAAATTTTCTACAATCTCCTGCTTTATGTCTCTCTCTGTTTCAAACCTGGTCATGAAACACGATACAAACATAATATATGACTGCGTTGAACTGCTTTTTTAGCCATGCTCTCAGCGTCGCTCTGTTCGTGGCTATGTTGGTCTCTAGATTTGTACCTTCATATTAACTGCATCTAAGACAAGCTGCTCTTTTGTGCAATTGTACTGCAATTCCTAGGATAACTGGCAGTAACCCTACCGTAACAGTGATTTAACATTGTCCGCTTGAATCAAGGCTAATATATTAACATGCCCAGACGACCTCCTTGTGATCCACCAAGGACCAGACACCCTAACTGAGTCACAGTCTGTGCTACATAAAAAGTAATTCATCAAGCAGAGCAATTGGACCAAAAGGTTGTTTTGCCTCTGTAATCAAATGTGAGATAAATCCTGATATTCAATTCTTTGATCCTTCATTTTGCAGTCATGTACTGTAGAGTCGCACAAATGAGATAAAATAAGCTGTAAATATTTCTCTTCTAATTCTCTAAAAGCCTTGTTAGGTCCCACTTAAGGGAATAAGGCCCCTTCCATAAGCTGGAAGGTCACTGTGAGGTGGTGAATGTCACACCCATTAAGTGCTCTAATGTTGACATAAACATTGTCCCTGTAAAACACTGTCACCATTAGTAGCTTTGTTATTAAATCAGATACTACGTGTGGAGAGTGTCTGACCACAAAGTCATGTCCAGATGGAATAATCTGACAGACTCTGGTGTTCACGTCCCCCCAGGAGCCTCTCAAGGTTGATGTAATCACCGCTGTGTTGTCTGTGTGCATTTAATGAAGCCTTGTGTAAGTACAACTGAATATAAACACGGTTTTCATAAATTACTCGCAGTATCGGAAATAATGGAGTTGATATTTGTCACAGAGAAGTATACTCCATAATTAATTTTGGAAACTCAAACACACTTACATCTCTAAAAGACAATAAAAACAAAAACACTAAGACAATGAAAATAATTCAGCTGTGTTAAAAAAACTGTTTGTATTCAAGCGGTTTCAAAACACATGGTTCTCGTGGTCTTCTAAGGTAAGAGTTTGTATTGTTGTGTTGTTTTATACAGATACAAAGAAGTTGGCAGTATCATGAGTCTGTAGTTCTGGGGGTGTGTTGTGTTGAGCATGAAATTTACATACTCTCCTCCAATCAGCCGGGACCAGACACACCAACAATGTTGGCAATTTCCACACATTTCCCGTTTGTTTTGAGTACTATGACGGGTGTTGTCTGTCTGTCTGTCTGTCCGTCCGTCTGTGGACAGATTTTGTCAACGTGAAAGCGTCAATAGACAGGCAAGACACAGTCAAGACACTTGGCCACTACAGGTGTGTAGCTGAGACCAAAATGAAGGTCCAAAATGAAAATTCAAAGTTTCTGGAAGTAGTGGGATAGGAAGAAAGGAAGGGGTCATTGGAATCCATGGGTCTCACCGAACTGCAGAACTGAGTGTTGGTGGGGCATGTTTCTAAGAACACAGGCCCATCTTTTGTTAAAATTTCAGCATTGATCTTAATCTGCCAACAAATCACATCTGAATCAGTTGCCCTTCCATTTCAACCACTTCAACAAACCACTGCTTGCATTCATCATGAAAAAATGCCAAACATTCCTGAGAGATTGGAAGGTTAATACAGCTGAAAGGTTTTGCACACAGCCATACCCTGACGCTGACATACATCTACATACCCTATGTATTTACTAAACATGTTTGTTTGTGTCTTCTCCACAGTACCTGGGTTCCATGCTGGTGAAGGAGCTGAGAGGGACCGAGTCCACACAAGATGCTTGTGCCAAAATGAGGGTAAAGCACAGCCTACCAAACTTTACTTCATCTACATGGACATAATTTCTATTTTATTACAACTTGGGTCTTATTTTTGTAGTTTTGGCTACCTGATAATTGGCGCTATTAATATTTCACTCAGCAGGTTTACTGCGGAAATCTGGCATCTTGTCAAAATGGGACCAGTTGATTATGCTTATTCTTATAACATAACATTTTGATACAAGCCAAACTCCCTCCAGTGTTTAACCACTCAACATGAGCACATGTGTTGGTACTTGTGGCTTTATTATATTGGGTTTTTTCAAAAAACCTTACTGGACCTTTAAATCTGGGACAAAGTCTCACAGTCTGAGTGCCCTGACACTCACTAGAACTTAAAGAAATTTAAGATATCATGACTGTGGATTAAGTTGTATTGAGGGATTTATTTTTAATATCCATGCCTGAGTGGCTTGATACCCCACAATCCCCCTTTTACCTTAAATCACCATATCTCTTCCTCTCGCTTTGTGTCACTCCACTGTTCACTCATTCTCTTACTCTCCTTCTCTATTTCTCTCTGGCATTATCTGTCTCTTGGTGTCCATGTCTTTTCGTCCTGCTTCCTTCTTCATTTCTTCCATATTTTACATTTCCATATTTTAACACTGACTCCCTTTCTCTCCTCTGGCCTTCAGTTCATATTCTCATTTTAATCCCGTGCTGCTGCAGTGTGAAGACAAATTGTAATATTCATGAGCAGAGTTTTCTGTTTCTCTCCCCTCTGTCTTCATATTTATGTTTCCACATCAGAGGGCATCTTTCTTTCTTTCTTTCACATCTCTATGTCCTCAGTCTGACACACATTTGCTGTGCATCAAGGTTGTAATTAAGTGCAATAAGATGCACATTATGTAATTCTGGCTTTTATTACTGTGTGAACGTACCTTCCGCCTTTACCTGCTTGCCCCTGTTCCTAGCATCTCTCCTTTCATCTCTTGCTCCATCCCTCTGCTCTGGAGGTAGATGTGGATGTTTAAATCCCAACTTCACAGCCTCTAGCTGCCAGTGAAGCCAGGCAACTCTGCCTTTGTCAGCTTTTCAGAACTACCTGATCCTGACAGGGCTGAACTGCAGCAGCAACACACTCTGAGCAGGGAGGAAAGAAAAGAACAAAGAAATGACACAGATAAGGAATGGATAGCAGCAAGTGGATTCAACAGGGGGAGAAAGAAAGGAAAGTGTGATAGATATATGGAAAGTGAGAGAAGGAGATGACAAGCGAGAAAGTAAGAAAGAAACTCATCTCACATCTATTTCTTTGAATATATTAAAGCCTTTGACAGGTAGAATGACAGATAGGAGGGTGGTGACGCTGACGTCGCTGTAAATCACACGATTCTCCACTGCACCTCACTGTATAATGAGTTCAAATATAGGTAATTGAGACACGTTATAGTGCCAGTATGTAATTAAAAAGAATGAATGGAGATATGCTGTAGGAGCCTGATATGGTTTATAAGATGACATATTTATTGGATTTGTAGCATTGCATTTGATTGGATTTAGAAATTTAATTTAATTTAATCCAGAAGCAGCTGTTTTTTTATGAGGCAACCAACAACCCTTGACCTTTGGAGATGATTTGAATTTACTTTGTTAATCAAGTTAATGTTCAGTTTGCTCATTTACCTCGTGCTTCTATTATTCATTCAAGTTCTGTTTATATTTTCATTATTTTTCCTTACATGCTTGTAGACCTGAGGCAGCTTTAGAGACATGGATTAAGTCTTGTACAAAGCTAAAAGGTTATTAAATTCAGCGGATATCTCGGCCGACCGAATCTCATTAATCTGGGACTAATTAAAATTTTCAACAGTCGAGTGTTGAAAGTTCAATATTGCAACTGATTCTTATTCTTTTTGATTTATGTGTGAAATGCCTCAAAAGTCACTGCTGCTTCTCTCCTCTTTGTCTCCATCTTTTGTTTTATGTGCACTCCAAGAAGTCGACAGAACAGATGAAGAAAGTGCCGACTATCGTACTCTCGGTATCCTACAAAGGAGTGAAGTTCATCGATGCCACAAATAAGGTAACACTCATGGCTCACTTCCTGTGACGCCTACTAAATAACACATGAAAGGTCAGGCTTTTGAACATGAGCATCAGTGACATTCAGAAGGTCTACCCTGCGTCGCAGCACTGATGTCTACTTCGGCTGCAGCCTGACAGACATAAAAGTATATGGTGTAAAAATTAATAAGGTGTGAACGAAGGACAACACAAACAGGTAATAATAAGTATGGAATAAATAAGCTGAATTTGAAGGGAAATCAATAACAGCCTACTACCAGTCCACTAAATCCTTACTGCAGTGTTTAAAAAGTTCATAAACAACTTTCAAGGTCTTAATGTTATAAAAAAGCAATTTCACAGTTTATCATCACCTCGTTCCTTCTCCATCGAGAGTGACATTTGTGTGATGGGTGCCCAGTGTGTGTCCACATGGTAATCTTGGTCAGAAAAAAGTGTTTATTTTTTTATTTCACACAAAGGAATCAATTATTGGACACCTCCCATATAGAGGAGTCGCATATATTCATATCAGGTACTGAGTCCTGTGCATACGTGTAAGACAATAGGATCCTATCCACCTCAGGTCAGTAAAAAGGTGGCACAGTGAGAAACTATTTTAAGATAATTACAAGCCGCCTGCAAAAAGGTAATGTATTTATTTAAGCCTCTGTTATGCACAAAGCACACACACATGCATAATTTAGAGATAATACATTTTAAGTTCAGTGCTCTTCCTCAGGCAGCACTACACAGAGCACAGACTCAATTAAGTTGGGCCCAATGCAGTTATGATGGGGGGGTGGAGGTAGGTGCAGCTGGTGACTCTTACCTGTAAAATCATTTCTTGTGTTTTCTATTGGCTCTACATGTTACACAACAGAGATATGGGATTAAATGCATCGTTGCTGCCTCTAACATGGCCATCAGGCAAGCTTTGTCTGCTCAGACATGCCCCAGTGCAAAATCTACTTTTCAGTTATTTCCAAATTCTCAGATCCTCCTGTAACTAATGTACCAAAGAGAGAATGATATATGGGAAGAAATAATCATAATGAGGGTAGCAAATCAAGTATAGATATAAAGCACACTCAAAAGGAAAATCAAAAGGCACAGTGGCTTTACCTGGATTCACCTCTCTGGGACATTTAATGGAAATAGTCACTATTCTCTCTCCTTAGCGTATTTGCTGTCCCAGTGCACAAAGAAATATCGGAAGTGGAATTCTCACTCAATTTTTGAAAACAATCAATAGGCCGATATCTTTTTTATAGAATTAAAGACAAAGATGATACAAAGATGATCCAGTGTGGCTAAAGGGGCATTTTATCTGGTGTATGTTATGTGACTCCTTTTATCTTTCCTGTGGTGGAAGATTACTGATCACTGATCAGAAATCACTGATTTCTGGACCCATATTTTATTGTAAGGTTTTGAATTGTAGTCCTTCAAAGTACCTGTTTCCTTTTCAAACGCAAAATAATAAAAATGTATTCTGTCCCTTGTTTGTCCTTTTTCAAAAAGTACACTTGGATTTTTTATTTGTATTACTAAGTTGTTGTCATTGTATTATTATGCATATATGCATGGATAAAGAAGATACAGAAAATCAGGACAGTTGTTGTTATTATGTATCAGGAAAATGTTCCTACTATTTTCTTCATTTAGTTCAAAGCAAATTCCTAATGTTAGACCTCACTAAAGCTTTCTTTTGTAGATTTGATGTTCTATAATTCACGGCACTGAGATGTGCTTTAATTAACTCAACACAAAGTCTGAGTGTTCCTCCGCGATGTTACCACAGGACAAATTCCAACTCAGTGACTCCAGAAAACTGTTGAACCAAAATTGTGCTATGGTGATTATGGCTTTGCGGTGTGTGAAATGAGATGAAGAATAAATCAGATTTGTTTTTCCACAAAGTGGATCAATGGAGATAATCAACAATCTCTCTCTCCACAGCTTTATCTGTCTTCCTCTGTCTTCATTTTCTCTTCCTCTCTCTGCAGAACATCATAGCAGAGCATGAGATTCGTAACATCTCATGTGCAGCTCAGGATCCAGAGGATCTGTCTACATTTGCATACATCACCAAAGACCTCAAGTCCAGTCACCACTACTGCCACGTTTTCACTGCTTTTGATGTGGTGAGTACTGACACTGTTTCTGCAAATATCATATTCATTAAACTTGTAATGTTATATTGCATTCTCATTCCTGTTTACCTTTACCTCCTCTTGCCAGAACCTGGCGTATGAGATCATCCTTACACTGGGCCAGGCCTTCGAAGTGGCCTACCAGCTGGCTCTGCAGGCCAGAAAGAGTGGCCACGGGTCGTCCACACTGCCCGAGAGCTTCGACAGCAAGCCCAGCAAACCTGTCCCCAAACCCCGCGTCAACATCCGCAAATCTGTAAGCATCACTGCCCCACAGCTGCACCACAGTTTGAAGGGAAAATCCATCCTAAACTGAAATTCACATCAGCAACTCCAGGTGTTTTTGACCGTCTGGATTTGAAGAATTGTGATGGCTTATAAAAGTTCACGTTGTAGAATAGATGATAACATTTTTATGAACATCTACATCTTGTAGATTTTTCATGATAAACTTTGATGCTCTTCCCAAGACTGATACACATTACAACATTTTAGTAAGGAAGAATAAAAGAATTGTCTTTGTGATGGATTTTCACCTTAACCTCTAATGTCACTGCTCAACTCTCAAAACTTTTGAACTCAAATTTAGCTTTTCTGTATCTGCTTCTAACCAATCCTAACCAGCATTCCATCTGCACTGGAATCTGTCCATAATTTTCATCCCTCTTCTCTGCTCTCAGTCTTTCATCCCTGCTCCTTTATATTATTTTCAAGTTTAGCTTTAGCTGGGATTATCCTGAAATGCTTGTGTTTTGTATGCGTGTGAGTCTCTGCCCATCAGAGGCTGTGGCAGAGGTGTAGGTGGATATTGTATCAGTTAAGCGTCCTTTCGGTCCTGCTGTCCCTGCAGTCTCTTACACACTGGGCTGATTGATGAGGCCTGTTTGCATAGATCTCCGGGGAGGCTTGCTTGGCCCGCCTCACTCTGATTGTGTGTAAGAAGCTAAAGAATCCTCATGCGGAAGACTCCTGCATACTGCAGACATTTGTGGAAAATCAATTTATTGACAGTTCAGATCCTCATCAAAAATGCTGTAGTATGTAGAGGGGTCACTGATAAGTTTGGTTATGTGTCCGAGCAAATACCCAAACAATGCAATGGGTGCATAGAATCTACAGACCAACCTGCATTTGTTTAAGATAGTGTAAGTGTATTTGTTGTTAGTTCATTAGTAGAGTCCTACAAAGCTGCAATATACAGTTCACTTTTTAGTTTGTTTGGTTAAGAAAATCCAAGGAGATTATGGTGTGAAGCAATGTTTTTGAATTTTAGTGCTAATAGAAGTGTTTCAGGAAAGTTTTATTGTTATCATAATAATACCATTTACAGTAATACTTTTACCAAATAATCGTAGAATTAATATTTGATACTGGTACATCTTTATCCTTATCTATGACAGCAACACTTCTTCTCTACGCCTTACTAAACTAAATGTATTTTATGCCTTACTATACTATGACCTTTTTTGCCTTACTATATATACTATGATGTATTTTATGACATTTTTATGCAGTACTATAATATTTTTTATACCTTACTGTATTGTGAAATTTTTTCACCTTAGTCTACTATGATGTTTTTTAAGCTTTACGACACTAGGATTTTTTTTTTTTTTTGCATTTTTGTCCTTACTTTACTGTGAAGTTTTTTTTTTGTATTTTTATGTCTTACTATAACATTTACGGTTTGCTACTATGATGTTTTTAGGCCTTACTATACAATGACGTTTTATGCCTTGCTATAGTAAAACGTTTTTATGACTTTTTTCTTTTTTTTTTTGCCTTACTATACTATCACGTTTTTATTTTTATTTTTTTTGCCTTACTATGCTATGACGTTTTTATGACATTTTTTTTGCCTTACTATAGTATGACGTTTTATGACTTATTATACTATGACGTTTTTATGATGTTTTATGACTTACAATACTGTGACGTTTTTATGACTTTTTTTTTTTTTGCCTTACTATACTATGATGTTTTTATGACATTTTTTTTGCCTTACTATACTATGACGTTTTACGTTATTATGACATTTTGTTTTTGACCTACTATACTATACGTTTTTAATGACTTTTTTTTTTTTTGCCCTTACTATACTATGAAGTTTTTATTACATTTTATTTTTGCCTTACTATTACTATGACGTTTTATGACTTTTTTTTTTGCGCTTAACTATCTATGCAACGCTTTTTTGTACTTTTTTTTTTGCCTTACTTTACTATGACGTTTTTATGACATTTTTTTGCCATTACTATACTATGACGTTTTATGACTTTTTTTTTTTGCCTTACTATACTATTATGTTTTATGACTTTTTTTTTTGCCTTACTATACTATGACGTTTTATGACATTTTTTTTTGCCATACTATACTATGACGTTTTTGTGACATTTTTTTGCCTTACTATACATGAAGTTTTTATGACTTTTTTTTTTGCCTTACTATAATGTGACGTTTTTATGACTTTTTTATGACTTTATAATACTATGACGTTTTTATGACTTTTTTTTTTTTTGCCTTAACTATACTATGACGTTTTTATGACATTTTTTTGCCTTACTATACTAGATGACGTTTTTATGACTTTTTTTTTTTGCCTTACTATACTATGACGTTTTTTTGTGACATTTTTTTTGCCTTACTATACTATGACGTTTTTATGACATTTTTTTGGCCTTACTATAAATGTGACGTTTTATGACTTTTTTTTTGCCTCACTATACTAATGACGTTTTTATGAACTTTTTTTTTTTTGCCTTACTATACTATGATGTTTTTATGAACATTTTTTTGGCCTTACTATTCTATGACGTTTTTATGAACTTTTTTTTTTGCCTTACTATACTATGACGTTTTTTATGACATTTTTTTGCCTACTATACTATGACGTTTTTATGACATTTTTTTGGCCCTTACTATAATGTGATGTTTTTATTGACTTTTTTTTGGCCTTATATACTATGACGTTTTTATGACATTTTTTTGCCTTACTATACTATGACCTTTTATGACATTTTTTGGCCTACTTACTATACGTTTTATGACATTTTTGCCTACTATACTATGACGTTTTTGTGACATTTTTTTTGCCTTACTATACTATGACGTTTTTATGAACATTTTTTTGGCCTTACTATAATGTGATGTTTTATGACTTTTTTTTTGCCTCACTATATCTATGACGTTTTTATGACTTTTTTTTTTTTTGCCTTACTATTATTATGATGTTTTTATGACATTTTTTTTGCCTTACTATTCTTATGACGTTTTTATAGACATTTTTTTGCCTTACTATACTATGACGTTTTTTATGACTTTTTTTTGCCTTACTATACTATGACGTTTTTATGACATTTTTTTTGGCCTTACTATAATGTGACGTTTTTTATGACATTTTTTTTTGCTTACTATACTATGACGTTTTTATGACTTTTTTTTTGCCTTACTATACTATGACGTTTTTAATGACATTTTTTTGGCTTACTATACTATAACCTTTTATGACATTTTTTTGGCCTTACTATAAGGTGACGTTTTTATGACTTTTTTTTTTTGCTTTACTATACTATGACGTTTTTATGACATTTTTTTGCCTTACATACTATGACGTTTTTATGACTTTTTTTTGCCTTACTATACTATGACGTTTTTTATGACTTTTTTTTTTTGCCTTAACTATAACATTGTGACGTTTTTATGACTTTTTTTTTTGCCTTACTATACTATGACGTTTTTTTGACTTTTTTTTTGCCTTACATACTATGATGTTTTTATGACTTTTTTTTTGCCTTACTATATCTATGACGTTTTTTATGATTTTTTTGCCTTACTACTACTATGAGTTTTTATGACATTTTTTTGCCTACTATACATGACGTTTTTATGACTTTTTTTTTTCCTTACTATACTGTGACGTTTTATGACTTTTTTTTTTGCCTTACTATACTATGACGTTTTCATGACATTTTTTGCCTTACTATACTATGACATTTTTATGACATTTTTTTGGCCTTACTATAATGTGACGTTTTATGACATTTTTTTTGCCTTACTATACTATGACGTTTTTATGACATTTTTTTTGCCTTACTACTACTATGATTTTATGACTTATTATACTATACGTTTTTAGACTTTTTATGACTTATAATACTATGACGTTTTTATGACTTTTTTTTGCCTTACTATACTATGACGTTTTTATGGACTTTTTTTTTTTGCCTTACTATACTATGACGTTTTATGACTTTTTTTTGCCTTACTATACTGTGACGTTTTTATTACTTTTTTTTTTTTTTACATTTTTAGGACGTTTTTATGCCTCACTATGGCGTTTTTATGCCTTATGTTCTTAGACGTATTTGATGCATGTTTTTATGCGTTACTATTACTGTAGTGTATTTATGTATTTTATACTTTTGTTTACACCTTGATGTTTGTTCATACCTTACTATAAAATGAACCCCCAAGACTTATGAACCCCAGGTTGGTCCTAGGGAAAGGAGAGTAACATTAAAATCAGATGTATGAATGTTGAGGAGACACAAAGGTTCAAGAATCTCAAAGTTTTAATGGCCCAACCTGAAACCATCAATGTCACAGGAGAGGGCAGCCAAAATAGACCAAACATTACTTAAAAACAAAAAACAAACATGAATCTGAAACTAACCTAAACACAAGGTTACAAACTGACTCCCTGACAATTCAAAAAACAGGAGAAAGAACTGGATTAAAACAAATGTCCAGCTCTCCCTACAGGCTTCTTGGCTTCTCTTAGTCTATAAACTTACACAAAATTTACCGTACAATAGTAATGGCGGCACAAACATGCATTCACCAAATCAAACTTCAGGCAGCAGCATGGTAGAGAGAGGGTGAAATGCGCTCTAGGTCTTTATGTAGCCCAGGTGAACTACTCCGCTGCAGTTCCACCAATAAGAAGGGAGGATCCAGGGGTGGAGGCCTGCGAGCACCTGAGGAGCACAACAGATTACATCCTTATCCACAACAACCAGTGCATAACCTAATGGGGGGTTGTAACACCTTACTGTAACTATAGTTTTTTTTGAGATTTTGATTGTTTCTATACTGTGATCGTTTTTATGCCTTAGTATACATTGACGTTCTTAACATTTTTATGCATTACTATTACTAGGACTATATGATGTTTTTATTACCTACTATACTATGACATTTTTATGACCTCATTAAACTATGACATTTTTATACTTTTTTTTTTTTTGCCTTACTATA